CCACCTATGTTTCACCACCACCCAAATTCTCACCACCACCTATGTTTCCCCTCACCACCACCTGTGTTTCCCCTCACCACCACCTATGTTTCCCCTCACCACCTACTTCCCCTACCATCATTTATTGAAGGACCAACAGCGTTTCCGTGTGTGTATTTTTAGAGTCACTCATCGATTTTCTGAATGGGTGTGTGTGTGTGTGTGTGTGTGTATGTGTGTGTGTGTGAGAGAGAGACTTTGATTGCGTATGTATGTATGTATGTATGTATGTATGTATCTATGTATCTATGTATGTATGTATATATGTATGTATGTATCTACATGAATGTATGTATGTATGTATGTATGTATGTATGTGAGTAATTGGTCTTTGATTTTTGTATGTGTGTGTTTCTGTATGCATAGTATGTATGTGTAAGTGTCTATGTCTGTATGTTTACGTGTATATGGAGGCACCTAGATACCTGTATCACGTCTGCTAGGAAATACCTCCGCTGAAACACCTGCAAAAATTCAGGTGTATTGGGGTGATATATGTATACAACACACACACACACACACACACACACACACATATATATATATATATATATATATATATATATATATATATATATATATATATATATATATTATATATTTCTTGATACATGGGAATGAAACAGAGTGCTCGTTGTTTCCATTTTCCGTGTATTTTATCAAGATTTTCTTATCACGTTTTATTGTGGATTTATATATATATATATATATATATATATATATATATATATATATATATATATATATATATATATATATATATATATATATATATATATACACACACACGCGCATACACATACGCACCATACAAACATACACACATAAGACAGAGAGAGATGTTAGGAAATTTATAGTGTGTGTGTGTGTGTGTGTGTGTGTGTGTGTGTGTGTGTCCAGGATATATATTTTTTACCTTACCTCATTATACTATTGTCCTTTCAACACCTATGTTATTTGTCAATCTGTCTGTCTCTATGTACGTCTGTCTGTCTGTCTGTCTGTCTGTCTATTTTACCAACAATTTACAGCCACAAGAAATAATAAACTCCTTCCCTGACCATGAAAGCCTCTGGGTAGAATTCAGGTCAATCCAACATTTAGTTTTTCTTAAGCATCTCTTCTCAAACTTACTGATCCCAGACACCTGATACTTTGCATACCTGTTCCTTTAGGTGTGATTGAATGCTTAGTTGGATTAGGGGTTAATCCTACTTAATGTATGGAATTTATTTTTCACCCGACAACTTAAGAGGAAAACCAAACATAAATTGACTTAACTCTCAAAAAAACCTCTAAAACTATTAGTATTTTGTTTGTATTTGTTTATCATGACGTGAGTTAAGACTTGGTCGAAATTTTAGGGTCAGTCCTACCCACTGTATTGGATCATGTTACCATTAAACTAGAAGATGGTACAGTAGTTGGTTTGCCTTGAAACTTCTTATCATTGAGAACTGAAATCTGATGCTTAAATTTCTTGAGACGTGAATTAATCCTTAGTTGATATTGACATGATTTTTTTTTTGTTATACAGGATTCATTAGTCTTGAAGTTTAGGCAAAAGTTGATAAAAAAATACTATTGAAACTACTCATCCTAGAATGCTGTAATTTTGCACACACGTTCTTAAGGATGTGAACTAACATGTGTGGAGAATTAGCATTAAACCCATCGACCGTGAAGAATTTATGCCTCATTAAACGTACAGAAATATACAAGAATTAATTTTTCTTCTTATAATCTTTCCTCTCTATGTAAATACTTATCCTTAGGGAATTAAATTTTGTACGTATTATCCTTAACATGTGAACTAATACTTGACTGGATATGGAGGTTATGTTAATAAATACCAAGAATTATACTCATTTAACTACAGGGGAAAATTATACTAAATGTGATTAACTCTCTCTCTCTCTCTCTCTCTCTCTCTCTCTCTCTCTCTCTCTCTCTCTCTCTCTCATATGCTTTACCCTCCTTGTGCAAATTATTCATCCTTCACTATCGTTATTTCCTTCCCCTCACCCTATTTACCTCTCCCTCCACTTATCCATTTGATGCTTTCTCTATATCCATCTTCCTCCCTCATTTCTCCTCCTACACCCCCACCTCCCTCCCCTCCCTCCCTCCTCTCCCTCTCCCTCCCTCCGCCACCTCTCCACTTCTTCCCATTCTACACCCTCTCATAATCTTGCCTCTCCCTCCTTTATTCTCTCTCTCTCTCTCTCTCTCTCTCTCTCTCTACCAACCATGCAAATCATTACACATCTGTCTTACACACACACACACACACACACACAGTAGAGTGACTCTCTTATCAAACACCCTTAGCTTCCTCTAGGTTAGGTTAGGTCAGTGTAGGTCAGGTCAGGTTAGGTCAGGTCAGGTTAGGTGTAGGTCAGGTCAGGTCAGGTTAGGTCAGGTTAGGTCAGGTCAGGTTAGGTTAGGTTAGGTTAGGTTAGGTTAGGTTAGTGACCAAACGTCGCGGGATCGTAATGAAGACTTTATC